GTGGTACCCACGTGTGGTGCAGGGTGGGCAGCCCGCAGTGGGCGCGGTGGTTGGACAGCAGCCGGTTCTCCAGGTCAATGGAGGTGCTACCGATCTCCTGGTCTGGGGGGAACCGGTCACGGTCCAGCAGCGTCACCTTCAGATCCTTCTCCAGGGGGATGGTGGCCGTCACCTCAAACATCCTGGGGGGGCGGAACGGCATCGGCACTGGGACATGGGGGGTGGGGGGCACCCCAGACCCCTCCCAAACCCTTCCCAGATCCCCCCAGACTACCTCATATCCCCCCAGAAAACCAACACCCCCGACTCCCCAGACCCCCCCGCCCAGTACCCCCCTCCCGTCCCTGTGCCACCCAGGAATGACTGTGCCCACAGGTGCCCCAGCCCATCCCCACCTGCCAAACACGGGCTCCAGGGTGTTGGGCACGTACTGGTCCCGCTGGCCCAGGGTCCTCTTCCCCAGGGACACCCGGACATAGGGGTCACTCTAGCAGCAGGGAGGGCACAGTCAGAGTGGCACCAGGGCGGGGAGAGGGCAGGACCCAGACCCCCGGGAGTCCTTACCAGCCCAGTGACATCACGGGGGGACAGGTCGAAGGCCCGGACGATGTAGACCCGCACCAGGCAATCCTGGGGTTTGCTGGGGGGCAGCTGCTGGAAGTGCTGGGGTGGGGAGGGCACCCTGGGCTCCTCGGGCAGGGGGTAGATACAGAACAGCCCCTGAGAGAGACCCCAGCCGTGCACCCCTGGGGGGTCTCACGGCCCCAGCTCTGGGGTCCCACGGGGGATTCTTGCCCACCTTGAACTCACCCACGGGCTCGGGATCCTGCCCAGGCACAGGGGGACCACCCGGTTTGTGGAGAGGGAAGGTCTGGCAGAAATCCTGCAGCCCCTGGAACTCGGGCACGGCCTCCAGCTCACAGCCATAGATCTGCGGGACCGTGCCCAGCCTGGGATTTATCCTTGTTCCCATCCCTGTCCTGTATTGGTGCTTCTCCCCATCACACACCGGTCCTCTTCTTCATTCTCATACCCTTCCTATGTTTATCCCCATCCCAGCTTCATCCCTGTCCTTGACATCCTTGCAACTTCATCCCCATCATATCTTTATCCCTATCCCTGTTCCATTCCCATCTTCATCCCCATCCTTGTCCTCTTGTTCAGCCCTGTCCTTGTCCTCATCCCCCTCCCTTGATCATCCCTGTCCCTATCCTGCTTCCCTCCTAATCTCCATCCCTGCCCTTGTCCTCAGCCCGTTTCTATCCCTGTCCTGTCCCAGTCCCCACCTCATCTCCATCCCTATCCCCATCCTCATCCTGTTTCCATCCCTATCCCACCTTCCTCTCTGTCCCCATCTGTGTCCTTGTCCCCACTCATC